CTTATTATATGGGTCTTTCACTTGTTTGGAAAGTGTTACCCCAAGATACTTTATGTTGTTGTGGCTATTGTAAAGGGTGATGTTTCTCTGATTTTTTTTCTCAGCCCCTTTACCATCTGAATATAGTAGGTCTACTGATTGTTTTTTTAGATGATCTTGTATCCTGCCACTTTGCTGAAGGTGTTTATCATCTGTAGGAGTTCCCTGGTACAGTTTTTCAGGTCACTTATGTAAATTATCATATCATCGGCAAATAGTGACAGTTTGATTTCTTCCTTTCCAATATGGATCCCCTTGATCTCCTTTTGTTGTCTTATTGCTTTAGGTAGAACTTCAAGTACAATATTGAAGAGATATGGAGAGAGTGGGCAGCCTTGTCTTCTTCCTGATTTTAGAGGAATCGCCTCCATTCAGTTTGATGTTGGCTGTTGGTTTACTGTATATTGCTTTTATTATGTTTAGGTATGTTCCTGTTATCCCCGATCACTCCAAGACCTTTATCTTGAAAGGGTGTTGGATTTTGCTTAAGACTTTTTCAGTGAGATAATCATGTGGTTTTTCTTTTTCAATTTGTTCACATGGTCGATCACACTGATAGATTTCATATGTTGAATCATCCCTGCATCCCTGAGATGAAGCCTACTTGGTCATGGTGCATGATTTCTCTGATGTGCTCTTGGATTCGATTTGCCAGTATTTTATTGAGTATTTTGGCATCAATGTTCATCATGAGGGATATTGGTCTATAATTCTTTCTTAGTTGTGTCTTTGTGTGGCTTGGGTCCCAAGGTAATTATAGCATTGTAAAAAGAGTTTGGTAATGAACCTTGTACTTCTATTGTGTGGCAAATTTGAGGAGTATTGGTATTAGCTCCTCTTTGAATTTCTGCTAGAATTCTGCACTGAAGCCACCTGGCCCTAAGCTTTTTTAGGTTGGGAGGCTTTGGATCACTGCTTCTATATCATTAGGAGTTACAGGTCTATTTAAGTTGCTTATCAGTACTTGTTTAATTTTGGTATGTGATAGCTATCCAGAAATTTGTCCATTTCCTTTGAGTTTTCAAATTTTATAGAGTACAGGTTTTCAAAGTATGACCTGAAAATTGTCTGGATTTCCTCAATGTCCATTGTTAGGTCCCCCTTTATATTTTTGATTTTCTTGATTTGCATGTTCTCTCTCTCTGCCTTTTGGTTAGTTTAGAAAAAGGTTTGTCTATCTTATTGATTTTTTAAATACACCAACTGATTTTTTGAATTATTTTCCTAGTTTCTACTTTATTGATTTCAGTCCTCAAATTGATTATTTCCTGGCATCTATTCCTCTGGAGTGAGTTTGCTTTTTTTTTTTTTTTTTTTTTTTTTTTTTTTTTGTTCTAGGGCTTTCAGTTGTGCTGCTAATTCTCTAATGTGACTATCCTCCCTTTTCTTCATATGGGCACTTGGTGCAATGAACGTTCCACATAGCACTGCTTTCAAAGTGTCCTCATTCTCATTGAATTCTAGGAAATCTTTAATTTTTTTATTTCTTCCTTGATCCAGGAATGATGCAATTGCACATTGTTCAGTTTCCATGAGTTTGCAGATTTTCTGCAATTTGTGTTGCTGTTGAATTCCAGCTTTAAAGCATGGTGGTGTGATAAGATACAGGGGGCTATTCCTTTTTTTTTTTGTTTTGTTTTGTTTTTTTTTTTGTTTGTTTTTGTTTTTGTATTTGGTGAGGTTTGTTATGTTGCCTAGTATGAGGTCGATCTTACAGAAAGTTCCATTTTGAGCAGAGATGAAAGTATATTCTTTTGTGTTTGAATGGAATGTTAAACCCAATTTGGACATAACTTCTGTTAGTTCTTTTGTTTCTTTGTTATGTTTCTGTCTGGTGGTGAAAGTGGGGTGTCCAAGTCTCCCACTATGAGTGTGTGAGCTTTAATGTGAGCTTTGAGTTTAAGTAGCTTTTCTTTTCCGAATGTGGGTGCCTTGGTATTTGGGGCATAGATGTTCAGAATTAAGACTTTGTACTGACAGATTTCTCCTGTAATGAATACAAAATGACCATCTTTATCTTTAATTGATTTTGGTTTGAAGTCTAAGTTGTTAGATATTAGGATAACCACACCTGCCTGCTTCTTGGGTCCATTTGATTGGAAGATCTTCTCCCAACCCTTTACCCTGAGGTAATGTCTGTCTCTGAAGCTTAGATGTGTTACTTGTTTGCAGCAGAAGGATGGATTCTGTCTTCGTACCCATTCTGTTAGCTTGTGCCTTTTTATAAGCGAGTTAAGACCATTAATGTTGAGAGAAAGTAAGGACCATTGATTGTTAATGCTTGCTTGTTTTAGATTTGTTGGTGGTGGTGGTAATGTGAATACATTTGCCCTGCTTTTTCTTTGGATTCTGGTGAAGTGGGATTATCTATTGCCTATGTCTTTGTGGGTGTAGTTAATTAACTTCCTTGGGTTGGCATTTTCCTTCCAGAACGTTCTATATGGCTGGATTTGTGGATATATATTGTAAAATCTGGCTTTGTCATTGAGTATCTTGTTTTCTCTGCCTATAGTGATTGAGAGTTTTGCTGGGTATAGTAGCCTGGGCTGGCATGTGTGGATTCTTAGTATTTGTAGAATATCTATCTAGGACCTTCTGGCCTTGAGAGTTTCCATGGAGAAGTCAGGTATAATTTTGATAGGTCTGTGTTTATATGTTACCTGGCCTTTTTCCTTCTTTATTCTATATGTTAGGTGTTTTGATTATTATGTCAAGAGGGTTTTTATTTATTTATTTATTTTTATTTTTTTGGTGTTTGGTATGCTTCATGTCCTTCAGATTGGGAAAGTTTTCTTCAATGATTCTGTTGAATGTTTTCTGCACCTTTGAGCTGGGCTTCTTCACCTTCTTCTATGCCTGTTATTCTTACTTTGGGCCTTTGCATGGTGTCCCACATTTCCTGGATGTTTCGTGTTAAGGATGTGTTGGATTTACGATTTTCTTTGGTCGATGAATCTACTTCCTCTAGTTTATCTTTAGTGCCTGAGATTCTCTTTTCCATCTCTTGTATTCTGTTGGTTATACTTGCAACTGTAGTTTCTGATTGTTTGCCCAGTTTGTCTATTTCTAACATTCCCTCAATTTGTGTTTTCTTTATTGTTTTTAGGTCTTGAACTGTTTGAATTGTTTCCTTCATCTGTTTGTTTTTTCTTGGCTTTTCTTACTTTTTAAAAGAGATTTGTTCATTTCTAGCATTTTTTGCTTGGCCTTTTCCTCTATTTCTTTCAATTTTTTTGTTTGTTTTTTCTTCCATTTCTTTAAGGGATTTTCTCATATCATCTTTGATGGTCTATATCATTTTTATGAAGTTATTTTTTAAGTTGTTCTCTTCTGCTACATCTGCTTTGCTGTGTTCAGGTCCAGTTGGTGTAGAGTCCCTAGATTCTGTCAGTGCCATGCTTGTCATTCTATTGTTGGGTGTTTTCTTGTATTGCTGTCTTCCCATCGTTTCTTCCAGTGGGTGCAGGTGGGGTTTGTCTCTCTATGGTACTCTCCCAATGGGCGTAGGTGGGTCAGCAATTCAATGTCTGTAACTCTGGATGATCCAAGCTCTCTTGGTGATCCTCCAGCAGAGGGCCAGTGATGGGTCCAAAGATCAGGCAAAGAGTGCAGAGCCTCAGGATGGTCCTTCATGGATAGGTGGGTCCAGTGTGCTCCGAACAGATACAGGAAATTCCACAGACATGGAGGAGGGGTTGTTGGACCCGCACTCTGGCCCAATGCTCTCTGGAGCAGGGGAGCATTGGGCCCAGTAGGACAAAGGGAGGGCAGGCTCTGAGTGGTGTATAGAGCAGAGTACCAGGACTCTACTATCTAGGACCAGGATATAGGGGGGAGCGAGATGCAGAGCTAACCCAGTGAGTTCCCAGGGAAGGATGAGGTTGTGGGGGGAGGGGATTCCTAAACTGGTCCTAAACTCACCTCGGGCAAAGGGCCATCAGTGATAGAGTCCAAATATCAGGTGAGTGCAGCCTCAGGGTGGTCCTGCGTGGATAAGAGGGTCCAGTGTGCTCAGAGCCGACCCAGGAAGTTCCACGGAGGTGGAAGAGTTGTTGGATCTGCACTCTGGCCCAATGCTCACCTGCAGCAGCGGAGCAGGCCCAGTAGGACCCCTGCTGGGAACTTAGTGTTAACTTCAATGCTTCTTTGCAGCCACCTGAGCAGGGACTGTGATCATGATCCTGTCACAGACTGGAAACCTATGGCCCAGTAGTTTATGTGACTCACCCAAGGATACATGCTAACAAAAGACTGGGATACCATCTGTCCCTGAGTCAGTCAACTAACAGCCTGGACATTCATTACTTCCTGTCACTGATGCAGAAAGCACACTGAGAGGAGTGGGTGTAGCCACATTGCTGTCAGAGTTCTCCTTGCTTTTCTTTCGCTAATACTACAGCCGGTCTACAGCACACATCTGAGGTCGCTCATCTACCCTGAAGGCATCATCATTGCTCTGATAAGCTGACCTTTTGCTTTATAAGTCACCTGTCAGAAGAATGGAGGAGTGGAGACTAAAAGCATACGTGCAAGCAAAAAATGAAAATATACAACAGGCAGAATCCTTTGTGCCCATATCCAATATGATCTTTGCAGTCACATGTTTCTGAAGAACACTGTGTACTGAAATTTCACTGCTATCAAGCAGCCAGAATTCAAGCTCACCAAGCTAGTAAATGTCAATGTTTTACAACAGCCCAAACAGGTCCACACTATTATGCTTATCACACAGAGATAAACAGAACTCAGCAGGTTAAATAGCATGTTGGCATCACACACTGCACATGATAGAATAGTACTGACACGAGTCTAAGCTTTTACCTCTACAACAAATCCTGTATTCCTGAGATAAGGAAAATTAATGAGAAATATCAAAATATTTCAACATGAAACCACAGCTTTCAAACTGAAGGTGAACCCCTACCACATTAACATGCAAAATAGATGTCTAGGACACTAACCAATTTGTACTTGTTCTGGCTGGCTGAGAGAAACGAAGGCCGATGTGTCATCAATCCAGGATATCTGGATGTTACCTGTTAATGGTGGATTAAAAACAAAATGAGTGTCTGAGCATTTAGAGACTCACACAGTAGACCCAGTCTGGCATATTTCAGTAAAGTCTAGAGAGATAAAGTGCTGCTTTTAGACTAGAGATCTCAGCACTAGTTAGCTTACTGAAAACTTTAATCCACTTACTTCTGTTAAATTTTCAAGAGAGGCTAGGAGATGGCTTAGCACACAAAAGCACTCATGCTAGCACAGAGTCCTAAGTTCAAACCCCAGCACCTATATAAAAAAAAGCCAGGCCCATATCTCCAGCACCGGGTGCTAGAAATAGGAGGATCTCAGAAGGACAGCTTCAGGTACAGTGAGAAATCCTATGCCACAACAGGATGTTCTACTTCCTCCACTGGCCTCCCAACGGTCTATGAGGAACATGTGCCTCTGTGTGTGTGTGTGTGTGTGTGTGTGTGTGTGTGTGTGTGTGTGTGTGTATGAGTGAGAGACAGAGAGAAACAGGGAGAGGGAGAGAAAGATGGGGAGAAAGACGGGGGGTGGGATGGGAGGGAGTAGTGTGAGAGAGACCACATGCAATCAAAATTGTTAAAACTATTTCATTTTACAGACTGCTACGGTTTGGATATTTTGTTCCTGCCCCAAGATGACACTTAATCTCAGGAATTCAGACATTGGAATCATAAAGGGAAGTATGATTAACACATAATACTTAGCAATAAGAAAGCTCATCCACGGTGATTCCCCTCATGGGAGCACTACTGGTCATACAAGAAGAGGAGGAGACTGACAAACATGCACGCACAAGGGCCTGTGTTCCTCTCTCATTCTAAGATGGCCTGTGCTTCCTGGGAACTCTGACAGCAACAAAGCTGCAACTCCAAACTACTAGAAAGAGCTCTGAGCCAAATTAGACCCTTTCCCATAACACACCAAGCTGTGGTGAGCTTCTAACAACAACCAAAAGTAGGCTGCTCCAAAGACACAGACTTGAATATGACAGAATATGAATGTTTATTTTGAATTTGAAGGGAATGTGATAAACCAACAGAAAGAAGGAAAATTCAGTGTTGAAATCAGTCCAGGAAATGAGAATAGAGGACAAGGAAAAGAAGAATGCAGATGGGGAAAGCTATTGAGATGGGTCCATGGATAAAGTTGTTGCAGCCAAACTTGACCATTTCTAAAATCCATATGGTGGGAAGAGAGATCTGATTCCTACAAATTGTCCTGACTTCCACATGCACATGCTCGAACACACATGCACGCACACTGGTAACTTGAAAGATTAAGGATCTGGAGAGAGAAAAATCAAGACAGACTATCAGTGAGATACAGTAGCAAACTGTACACTGAAGCAAACAGTATGTCTAAGCAGAAAGGGAACCCAGAGCAGAGCCCTGGAGCCTGCAGAGGAGATGATAAATTGCACTCCTGCCATCACTGTCCTTGGGAAAATACAGAGCACCAGACTTGAACAATGGGTAAACAGCACTGGAATTTAGCAATAAAAGAAAAATTCATGCTGGGCATTGGTGGTGCAGGCCTTTTAATCCCAATACTCGTGAGGCAGAGGCAGAAGAATCTCTGTGAATTCCAGGCCATCCAGGCCAGCCTGGTCTACAGAGCTAGTTCTAGGACAGGCTCCAAAGCAAAACATAAAAACTCTGTCTTTGAAAAAAACAAAAAAAGAAAGAAAGAAAAAAAAAAGAAAAATTCATTTTTCTAAGACTTTCAAAGGCTGGAAATTGTTAAAAACCATTTAGTTTCACTATCAAAGTGGAAAACAAAACAGTACAAAATCTCTCACTTGCAGCTTCCCAGTAACGACACACAATCATGAAAAATACATGACAGAGTTGTTTTAGTTAACTTAACTGAGACGAAATAAAAATGCCCAGCTGTGGCATTTTACTTACTTTAGCACTTAAAGCCTGACGACATAGGATCAGAACTTACACATATGAAGATAGCAGGCACTTCCAAAGGAGATGAGCCTAGGACCCTTTCTCTATCTTCAGTTAAATTAAAAAGTGGGGTAGGATTTCAAATGGCAGAGATCATCTACAAGATGACTTCCTAGAAATACACCTGCTTTCACATAAAGATTCTAGGTTTGTTTTTAACTTAAGAGGTAATTTGTGGTATTTTTGAAATACAGGAAAGTTTAGAAAACAAAAAGAAAATCTGTAAAATACTCAGTGAAGTGGTTGGAGAGATGGCTCTACTGTTAAGAGCACTCACTGCTCTTTCAGACGACCTGAGTTCAATTCCCCACATCCACATGGAGGCTTCCAACTACAGTATCAGAGGATCCGATGCCCTCTTCTGACCTCTGGGGCACTGAACACACATCCTACTAATACAGAAATGCAGGCAAAAAAAAAAAAACCATACAGAATTTTTAATGAATAATATTCAGTGGTGAATGTTGAATGCATCTTCCTTCATTTCCTTCTGCTTTCTCTATGTTGTTTTTTAAAATAGTGTTAAGTATATAAGATCCTATTCTCTATCCTTTTTTCAATAAAAGTATTAAGATATGTTTTAAATGTTTTCTTAAATGTCTATACATCTGCATACACACTTTAAGTATAATATTTTATTCACTATTGTTCTGGATGATTTCATGTCGATACAAGCTAAAATCATCAAAGAGGAGGGAATCTCAATTAAGAAAAAGGCCTCCTTAAAATGGGGCTGTAATGAATAGACAAGAGCAAAAAAAAAAAAAAAAAAAAAAAGAAAGAAAGAAACAACCAAAAAAGAAACACCATAATAGAAGGAGCCATTATAGGTTTGAAGAGAAAACTGACTCTAGAGAAATGTCCAGAGACCTACAAGGATGACCCCAACTAACAATCTGAGCAACAGTGGAAAGGCTACTTTATATGCCCTCCCCTGATAATGAGATTGATAAGTAACTTATATGACATCATAGAGCCCTCATCTAGTAGCTGATCGAAACAGAAGCAGACACCCACAGCTAAACACTGAGCCAAACTCCTGGAATCCTTGCAGAGAGCAAGGAGTGATAAGTAAAGGGGTCAAGACCAGGCTACAGAAAGCCAGAAAAACAGTTGACCTAAACAAGGAGGAGCTAATAGACTGATAGCTGAGAAACCAGCATTGGACTGACTCAGACCCCCTGAATGTGGGTCTCAGTTAGAAGGCCTGGGCAGTTTAAGGTGCACAAAAGGACTTTGGGAGCACAATCTGTGGAGGGATACTCCCTTGGCCTAGAGGCAGGAGGGAGGGCCTAGTCCCTACTCCAAAAGACTTGATAGATTTTGATGATCCCTCCTGGAAGGCATCACCCTCCCTGTGGAGTAGGGGAGGACATGGGATGGGAGGGGGGCCTGGGGGCATGGGAGGGAGGAAGGGGGAACTGTGATCAACATGTAAAATAAGAAAAAATAATATATATATGTATGTACAGATATATATTTATATACATGAATGATAGGGCTATAAGCAAGTCTGTAGGGCCTTTTTAAGAAAATGATTTAGTGATTGATGAGGTAGCACCCAGCCCTTTGTGGGGCTATCTCTGTGCCAAGCAAGGCATGGAGAGCAAACCAGTAAACATTATGTCTATTGCAGCATGCATTTTGTGGAGTTGGGTTCTCCTTCCACTTATATGTAGGTTCCAGGTATTGAACTTGGATAACCAAGCTTGCACAGCAAACACTGAGCCATCTCATCAGCCTAGGAATATTTTCTTAAATATCTGAATAGTAAATCTTTTGAGAATATACAAATATTACTAAGCATCCCACTACTGGCCAGTTTTCAATTCAAGAATTCCCCCCAAAAATAAACAGAATAGTTTCAATACCTCATTTGTTAAAATAACAAACCTGTCCATTCACAAACCCTGAGAGATCTTACCATATGTCTTATGATCCGAGAATGAGAGGAAATGCCTATCTTAAACACCTGGAATCTTGGTCTGCTCAGACATCTGTGTTTGCTGCTTTCATTATTAATCTCATGTAGAGACTGCTTGTCAATATAAAACAGAAATTCTTTCTGAATTTAAATCTTAAAAATTATTTACCCTGATGTTTTCCCTCATCAGCAGTAAGGGCAGACATAGTGATGGTCCATGTATTCTGTCAGCAAGGGTTACACAATGCACCTCAGATCACATTAGAACAGGACAATTCTGTGTCTGAAATTAACCCTACATATGGACTTAAAAATCTTTTACATGATTTCCTCCTGACCACCTACCTATATATCAGAAGAAGGGCAAACCTTAAAACAGTCATCACAACTTTTTTGTGCTCACCAAAGGCGCTAAAGAGCTGGTAAAGGTCACTGGTTTTCCATTCTTTGGGGAATGTCACATGGAGAACATGATCACGTTTAGGCTGTACTACAAGACAAAAAGTGACAAAAGTGATGAAAAGTGATGAATTATTGGCTAGAGAAATAACTCCAACAGTAAGACGTTTAACACACAAGCCTATGTTTGACCCCCATAAAAAGGTGGACATAGAGGAATGTGCTGCAAGTGCTAGTACTGGTGAGGGATAAAAAGGAGGGTCTGTCCTGGAACTCTCTGGCCAACAGTCTAGCCTAACCAGTGAGTTCCAGAAGAACAAAGTGGACAAGGCTGGCTTCTGGCAAGGGAACAAGGCAAGTCAGAGGCTTTTTTGATTGTCTCAGCCCACAAAATGTTAGGGTTATTAAGTGTGCATCACCACATTTGGCAAGCACAGATTCTTTAATTAAACAAGTCCACAATACCTTGAGGAATTATCACAGATGTGTCATGGTTACCAAACAACTCCTAAAATTAGCAGAATTCTTACCACTACATAGAAATGGCTGACACAAAATACAGTAGTCGTGCCTCTGCTCCCAAGTGCTGGGATTCCAAGTGTATACTGCCACACCCAGGCATTAGCAGGCTGTTCTTTTGTGTCATGTAATCCACAACAATTTGACAGCAATTAAAAAAATAACTTGTGAAATTTAAATATATGCTTAAGTAATTAGAAAACAGAATATTTAACAGCTGACATAGACAGCATAATTTTAAAATATATATTGGAAATGATTTGAGTTTGGGGGATGAAACTATGAATATATTGTTTTCTAGGCTACGAGATATATGTATATATAGTCTGGAAAATGTAATGAAAGCTCAAGGGTCTCATGAACTTATAAGTATGCAATCCCTACCAACCACAAACCACTGTCTATATTCAAGTAAAGAACTCTTTGTCAGCACTCTTTTTCTGACTCTAACAACTAGAGATGCAATGAGATCAAAATATACTTACAGTCTGGCCCTTCCAGGTTTAAATATGGGATGTCCATGACCCTCATAAGAAATAACCTACCAAAAACAAAACAAAACAAAACAAACAAACAAAAAAAACAACAAACATTCAGGTAACAAACTAATTTCTTTAATTAAAAAAAAAATGTATTAAAATTTGAGTAGAAGCAACTTGTTACTGTGGTGGCTTGGTTGATAATGCTTCCCTGGGTTCCTGTTTGATTATGTAGTCCTCAACTGTGGAAATGTTTGAGGATTAAGAACTGTCTTGGGGGAGGAAAGACTTGTACTATCATCCACATGTTCTCTCCTCTCCATGTGCACATTCCTGCCACCACACCTCCTCTGTTCCACTATCATGAACTCAAACCTCTGAAACTATTAGACCAATTAAATGCTTTCTTTTGTAAGTTGCCTGGGTCATTGTGTTTGGTCATAGAAATGGGAAAGTAACAAATACACTTATTCTATTTCTAAAAAAAAACACAAAAACAAAAACAAAAACAAAAATAGGATTCTTAAAATTCACTTCAGAGGTTTTCTTTCCTGCTGAGCTAAATATTTATCATAAAGATAAAAATACAAATTGTGGTATCTCAAACACATACAACAGTTCTAGGTACTCAGTAGTTTCTCAAAAAATACCAACCAGATTAATGAAATTATTAATGAAAAACTGAAAGAAAATCCTGTGTAGAGCACTGTCCTGTTATGAGTAGTTTTTTTCTGCTCGCTGCCGGTCTTGTCCCATCACTACAGCGCCAGCCCCAAATAACACACAGAGACTCTGTATTTGATATAATGCTGTTGGCCAGGTACTAGTTTCTTATTGGTTAGCTCTGTCTTAATTATTAACCCATTTCTATTAATCTAAGTATTTCCATGTGGTCTCGTCTTACCGGAGTGAGGCCAGTGTCTGCTCTCCCCATTTCTCCATGTTGACTCCTCTTTACTCCTTCCTCTTTCCTCCTTGTCTCCTAGTCCCACCTATCTTGCTTTCCTATTGGCCAACAGTGCTTTATTCATTAACCAGTATGAGAAATATATTTACAGAATGACATCTCCCATCATCTCCTCTTTTCTGTCTAAATAAACATAGTAAAATATATGACATAACAGATATCAAGTAAGAATCACAGTTAACACTATTTAGTCCATTAACATTTAGCAAGATTTGAAGAAAATATTCCATTATCTATTCTATCTTTGTGTGTCTAAAGTCTATGTAACTTATCTTTAATCCTAAGGAAAACTATAGCCATAACTATTTATCTTCAACTCACTCAAAGACCACAGAACAATAATATATAAACTCTAGAAATGACAGAGACATCTTGCCTTGTCAGTCACCTAAAGTTCTTCTGTAATGTTCTATCTTCAGCCTATAGGCCATAGTGTGTCTAGCATATTCCTCAGCAAAGGAGGAAACTAAATTGTCCATCTGTATTGGCAGTGTGTCAGTCTTTTTCTCTGTGTTCTGCAGAATGTCTGGCAGACTCTTCCAAGAAGCAGGAACTCTGTAGCAATGTCCATCTTGTTTCAGCAGTCACTTTTCTGTGGGTCCTACATGTCCAATTTATATAGCATAAAGTCAAACAGTCCAGACAAGAGCAGTATCTTGCCCAAATGGCTAGTCTTGCCATAATTGGAAGCAAACTCCATACGTATTTCTTCTATATCCATCTTCCTTTCTGACACAGGTGGTGTTGCCAGGAGCAGTTGTGCCTCACTGTCAAGAAAAACCCTAAACTATTTTAAATGTTGTATTCTGTAGGTCTTTGAAAGGTTTGAAGAATGCCTCTATCTCTAATACATCTCTGTGTATCTTGAAAACCTAACTAACTTAACTCTAAGCTTTGACTATTTAACAAAAACAAAGCTAGCCAATAAGAAACCATTATCTGGCCAACAGTATTATATCAAATACAGAGTCTCTGTGTTTTATTTGGGGCTGGCGCCGCGACGATGGGACAAGACCGGCAGTGAGCGGAAAAAAATACTCATAATACTATCCTACTACTTAGTCCAAAGAAACAACAAGAAAACAAGTATTAACTCTTCACCAACATATGAAAAGATTTCTACATAGTCATATTTGTGAAGGGAGGATGGCATTCATTTATTTTAATTTTTTATGAAATTCAAAGTCAATGGATGTAGGGTAAATCTCACAGACTGAAATAAGTGACTGTCTCAAATGCTCACATTATTGTTGCCATGTAAAACATATCTGAAACACAAAACAAAACAATCCTTGATAAAGTTATCATGAGACCAAGGAGATGCCTCAGTGGGTAAGGATATTTGCTATGAAAGCCTAAAAACCTGAGTTCAAATCTCCAACATCCATGGATAAAGCCAGGTTGTGGCTACACATACCTATAATACCAGCATTATGGGATTAGAGGATCACTGGGGCTTGCTGATTGCCAACAAGAACGACTGTCTCAAGAGGACCAGGTGAAGACTGATAAAGGAGGGCATCCAATATCATCCTCTGGCCTCCACTCATACACAGGTACACTCACTCACCTGGCCATATAGCATATCCCTCATACATACTAGTGCATAGACCCCACACACATGGCTATCACACAAATAAAAAGCATAGCAAGGATTTTTTTTTTCTTTCTTTCTTTTTTTGGTTTTTCGAGACAGAGTTTCTCTATGTAGCTTTGGAGCCTGTCCTGGAACTTGCTTTGTAGACCAGACTGACCTTGAACTCATTGAGATCCACCTGCCTCTGCCTACTGAGTACTGGTATTAAAAGCATGAGTCACCACCACCTGGACTATAGCAAGCATTTTATGCATAATTTCAGAAATGGATACAAAGGTACACTTAGAAAACAGTATTTGTTAATTACATCTGTCTGCAATGTCTTTCCATTTTCCTATAGTAGCTAAATTATGAACAAAATCAGGCTTTCTGTTGTGTCTAGGATGATAATGAGTTCTACTTGGATAACAATATATGTGCTTCTGTTAGAAGAACCATTATGCATCAAATTACAAAGGCAATCTAAGTGCCCAACAAGCAATTAGTTTGGCTTCAGTGACCTGCAATTAAGGCATCCAAAGCCAAGCAGGGTACAATCAGCTCACAGACTAGCCATCAGCAGAACAAGTCTGTCCTGCCATTGTCAGAAAGGGAGCTCATAGCAGTTGGTGGCTGGAGAACTTGTATGGCCTCCAACAATAACCCAGGTCCTACAGCTAAGAAATCAAATTTCTTTTTCGCTCACAAACAGTGTAGATCTTCTGCTTATGTAAAGGATGTCACTCAAATGAACCCATGTTCCTTACAGAGTTAGGAAGGGACAGAACACAAACATGTAACACAGCAGATCTGACTGATTAGGCAGCTGTCATTATCCCCAACACCCAGAGTCTGACATGTTTCACAAGATTCAAGGGGGAGCAGCTCTTGTTTTCTGGAGCCTCATGTTCCCCCCCCCCCCACAGAATTTTAAAGTTTCATTTTATGGATATGGTTATTTAGTCTACATTTCTCTGTATGTACTCTGTGTGTATGTGTGTGTGTGTGTTCAAAAGAGGGTATCAGATCCCATTGAACTGGAGTTCCCAGCAGTTGTTAGCCTCAATGTGGCTGCTAGGAATCAAACCCAGGTTCTCTGCAAGAGCAGTCAGTGCTCTTAATCTCTGAGACAAATGAAAATACTAATCAGGTGTGGTGCATGGTGTACCTTTAAGGCAAGCAGAGCTTTAAGAGTTCAAGGACCTGTTCTATACAGGGAGTTCCAGGACAGCCAGCACATAGTAAGAACCTGTCTAAAAGAGGAGGAACAGGAGGTGGTAATAATAGTTGGGAACTACAGCAATCTGGGGAGTGAGGCAAAAGAACTACTAGAAGCCAGGGGTTTGCATCTAACTTGAACAACACAGTAACACTCCTTCCCTTTCTTTAAAAACAAAAGAGAAACCTACTTCTGCTCACCTCTGGAAAGAAAACATGGCACTGTAGAGGTAGATACTGACAAGACACCTAAGTCCAAAGAGAAGGTCTCCACAAGAACCACATGACAAGGCAGAAAAGGCTCATTATACAATGCTGACCACTAGGTTTACCATAATTTTATATACATGTGTCCTCATGGGTTCACATATATATGATTATTTTAATTTTATGTGTATGTATGACTGCCTGCATGTATGAGCACCATGTCATGCCTGGTTCCTTAGAAAGCCAAAAGAGAGCCACTGCATGAACGCTGAAAACTAAACCTGGATCCTCTGCAAGAGTATCAAGTGTTCTCAACTGTTGAGCCATCTGTGCAGCCTGTATGTTTTGAACTTGTAAACTAACAAGTAGTATAATCAACTGAAAAAAATGGAAAATATTGACCTCCATTGTAAATTCAAAAGTCACCAAGAACAGAACAGATATATTGGTAATTCTGTAAATGACTGTGGTTTTTATTTTGGCCTGAGAAACTGCAAGGTTTTTTTTTTTTGTTTGTTTGTTTGTTTTGTTTTGTTTTTTGTTTGGTTGGTTTTTCTTTAATCTGTTTAAAAGAAAAATAACCTGAGTATCAACTTCCTGACTAAAATGACGTTTACCACTGTCCACTCAGCTTGCTGAGATTCTCTGAGGTCTAGAGGATAGAAGAGAATTACCAGTTGCCCCCTTATTTGAAAAGGGGGGAGGGGCAAGATTTTTTTTCCTTGCTCAGGGATGATCCTTGGCTGATATGGAGGCAGAGAAGAGGGCAGAAGCAAAGCTTCCAGTGCTAACCAAGTCCTTTCTTCTCTGCAAGACCCTTTCCTGACCCTCTCTTACCAAATGTACAACACAAACTGCTTCACAACATCTGTGGAGATGATGAGCTCTGAGTCCATTGGAAGGGACTAGAGATGAAGATGAATCAATATCCAACCCTGAAAGAAGCTCAGACACTTGTATGTGGTGGTAGTTAATGCTCCCAGGGTTGATTAAATTACAGCTCTCTATGATGGCACACAGCCAAGATATGGGGAACGAGACTGTTGCCTGATATGGAGCTCTGAGCAGAATGAATTTTCAAGGCAACTGGAACA